AAAACACACAACAACCATAACGAATGCCACTCAGCAAGACACTGCCCACATAGACATTAATGCAGCTGTGAGACACTTAGAAACCAAGGTTATGAAACCTTACTGAGTTGTTTATTCAGAACACAGTGGCAAGTTTATGGGTATAATTGTCATACCTAGTATAAGCAAGAAAATGGAAACCTCTTCCTGACATTCTGATCTCCTTTACTTAATCTTTATGCAAAAGTTTGGTGAACAATTGTGTCTTCTAATGCTAGGCTCTCCTACTATTCCTTTTATTCTGTACAGTATAGCAGTAAAAACAAGTATGGCAGTACATTAACAAATGTGAATATGAAAGAAGGAATTCTTCATGATTGGTCCCAAGTGACTAACTGGGACTGTATTTAAGATAAAGCAAACAACAACAACAACAACAACAACAACAAAAAACCCCAAACAGATAAAGCCAAGCAGTCATTTGCTCACTAGTGGCCATAAATATACTTTCAATTCCCAGAAAACCCACACTTCTGTTCTACTTTGGATGTCTAGAGCTCACCTAAACCCACCAATCAGAACTCTCCTGAGTCAACCAATCAATGTTCACCTCACTTGAACAATCAGGGCTCAGCTTTATCAACCAATCAGAACTAAGTAGGTTGAATTTTTTTTTTTTTCATTTGCTTAAAGAGACCTTGCTAGAAACTTCAGCAGTGACTCTTGCTATAAAACCCAAACTCTCTTTGTTCTCTGGACCACACCTTTACACGAAAGGCTGCATCTCTCTGGTTTGTAAACTGTTCATCAGAATACTCTCTTTCCTCCTTTCTCCTATTCTATACAACTTTTGTTCGTAACCATTAAACTTAAATCAGTATATTTCCTCATAATCATTATATATCTTTACTTTTGCTTTTGTTTTCTAAGGCTTTCTCTAGATATTTCAACAATTATTAATGATATTGTACTTTTACTACTAAAAAATGTGCTAGGAATTTTGTATGCTGGAGTTAGTTATTCATCTTCTTTATACTTTACAGTAATCTTAGAGTATCCTATTTCTGAAAACTATCTCAACACACATTAAGCCTCAGCTCAGGGGTTACCTACTTAACCCTTACCTGTGACCTGGGATATTTTTCCTTCTCTATGATTCTGCAGAATGTTTTTCACCCCAGTAATGTAGAAGTTGATGTTGGAGGCCCATATGTTTTATTTGTTAAGATGTTGAGTTTCTTAATGTAAGACTTGTCTCATAATTACTTGCATGCATTCAACAGCTAATGTAATGTTTGGCATTATCCGTGAGTGCACTGTGTGTTTATTGGCTAATTCAAATGCACCTTGTTTGTAAACTGAGATCCACTTATAAAGACATGATCTCAGGAAGTTGAACCTTAAACATTTTAAGAACCCTTTGAATCAAAGTGAATTCTCTAACACAGATTTACAGTACTAAATCACATTAATATTTCTGCAGCAAAATCACAAGGTATCCTAAAGTTGCCATCCATGAGGAAAATAGGAAATTGTAGTTCAGTGTACCCCTATTTACAAAATATTCATTATGAAATTTTACAAAGTAATCTCTACATGCTGGCCACTTGCTTATAAAATTTTGTAATGAATATTTTGTAATTAAAAAGACATTTAGCTACAATTTCTCATTTTCTCCTTGTATGGTGACTTTAGGAATATCCTGCATAAATACTAATGTTATGTGGTATAAATAAAAACTAAACAATAGGTAAGGGATAGTGGGCTTGAATTTTTTCACATGAGAAAAAAAGCGTTATCAGTTCGCTAAGGGTACATTGGAAAACTACTGTTATTTAGGTATTTTAAGGGCACCATAAATTAAGTATTTCTCAGTTTATAGTTTCCCCCAAATTGGACACAAGCAGAAGACAGAAGAAATGTCCATGGGTAAAGAGGCTAACTCTGCTCACTGACCTTTCCCTCTCGCTATATTTTTTTTCAGACTGTGATAAGTAGAGGTTGAAATGAGGTAGCAAAACCACATCCTTGCAATAGAGATAAAAGTTGATTTACTTGCCTTGAAATGGTTATTACTATTGTATGATTTTGGGAGTCATTTAGGTTGGTTCTTCTCACCTAAAAATTGTGTAACAGTAGTCATTTCATGTATTGTTCAAGTCAATATTGACAGTAAAAATTCCTCTTTGGAGAGCTGCTTTTTTCAGCTAGTAGGCTGACTACAACACAAGCCAAGCTATTGCATGGTTTCTACCAACCAGGCATTCATTGGTTAGGGTCCACGGTTACTAATTAATCAATAATCAATAACTTCAAACTGTAGGTGTTTGGTTTAACATTTTTATTTTTCATGTAAAATTTTCCTAAAACAAATTATGAAATTTAAACCCTGCAGGTGAAAAAGAAAACCTGTTACTTTCTCTGCATTCAATATGTTAATTTTAACAGAGTATTGTCAGATTTGTGTTATTACCATATAACCCAGCTTTCTGTAGAGCAGACAGATGATAGACAATGACAAGCCAGAAAGTGACTCTGAGATGACCCTTTCAAAGTGGTAGCTGTAATTGAATTTTCACTGATTAGTACTTCCAACGTTCTATGGATGCACTAGCTCTGAGAAAACATCTTCATTAATCTTACCTTCCAACCTTTTGAGTCTAGTTGTTTTCCTTTCCTATAAATATATGTAAATTGTGCTTAGGTGGTCTGAATAGATCCCAGTGGAGAGCAGGTTGGGTGTTTATTAAAATGTAAATTATGGTTGTGTATCAAGAAACATAAATAAAATTCTGTTAAGAGTTTAAGAAAAGAATGTGGATGTTGCTTAGGTGGAGTAACTATGTAATTTATTGTTCAAACGTGCAGAATTTTGTGAGTAAAGGGGGGCATGATTAATTACTATGGGATAACAGGCATAAATAGGGACTGTTCCATGCAAAATGGAACATCTGTCACCATTTCTGGGGCATTGGATAAAATAGAAAACAATTGAGTAGATACCCTGAGAGAAGTGGTGATAAAACAGTCAAGTGAAATATAAAAAAATACTTGGGCTGAGTGCAGTGGCTCATGCCTGTAATCCTACCATTCTGGGAGGCTGAGTCAGGTGGATTGCTTGAGCTTATGAATTTGAGACCAGCCTGAGCAAAAGTGAGACCCCATCTCTACTAAAAATAGAAAAACTAGCTGGGTGTTGTCACAAGGTGACAAGACATCCCACTTTGGGCGGGACAGTACTGATTTTTAACAATTTGTTCTGCATCCTGCAGAGTTTAAAAAAGTCCCAATTTTTGGAAAGAATGCACAACAAGCTAGGGAAGGGCAGGAGAATGGGAAGGAAATATACAGTTGTTGGCTGCCATGTGGCTATTTTGCCAGGATATGAGTTTTATATTATTTTTGTTAATTTTATAATGTTGGGCTCAGTGCCTGTGGCTCAAGTGGCTAAGGTGCCAGCCACATACACCTAAGGTGGTAGGTTTGAATCTAGCCTGGGCCTGCCAAACAACAATGATGGCTGCAACCAAAAAAATACCAGGCGCTGGTGGCAGGAACCTGTGGTCCCAGCTACTTGGGAGGCTGAGGCAGGAGACTTGCTTGAGCCCAGGAGTTGGGAGTTGCTATGAGCTGTGATGCCATGGCACTCTACCCAGGGGGACAGCTTGAGGCTCTGTCTCAAAAAAAAAAAAATTATAATGTTAAACTTTAATAATAACAAATAATTGTTGAGAACTGATTATCAAGAACTGCTTATCAAAGTTTGCAGTGTTGATCAGTTGTTAGAATTTGACCACCATTGTTTGGACTTAATGAACAATGGCATTTTTTGGCATTGGCCACCACGAAAACATTTTGTAACTGTCTCTCAGACTATACACATCGTACTGCATGCTAGTGCTAAACAAGTGATGTCAACAAATCAGCTATTCAGATAATTTAGGTAAGTAAATTATTTATTTCATGAATTTAGCAGATAGTACTCGTATTATTTATATTTTATAGTGGCAAAAAGTCTAGCGCCAGCCTTAAAAGTGACACAACTTACGAGGTTATTAAAAAAATAAATTGATAAGAAAAAGGTTAAATCTTGGGCATCAGCAAAAATCACAGTAGAGAACAAATGGTTAGAAATATTTCATCATTTTGAAACAAACCATGTTCCAAACAATAATGCACTAAAAATTGTGGGATATGTGCTGTCCTTACCAGGAACTAATGCTGTGACTGAAAGTGTTTTTTCTAGGGTAAATAAAGTGTGGACATCAGAAAAATCACAGTGTTGAGACTTCGAAAGCCATTTTATGTGTGAAATATAATTTAACAAATTCTTGTGAAAAATTTCATGACCTTTTAAACAACGACAGCAGTCTACTAAAAAAAAATTCACTTAAATGAGAAATATGCCAAAGAATAAAATAATACTATACATAATTTTTTAATGTATTATATTTATAAATTGTACTTCTGTTGAAATTTTAAAAATATATATTACAATACTATTTTTGCATTCCATGAAAATTTTTGTTGCTCCATATAGACTAAATTTTTAATTAAGAACACCTGCCCATCCCCCTCCTCAATGGTGTCCCGCTTTACCAATGTTAAATTCTCATCACCTTAGTGGGCGCCTGTAGTCCCAGTTACTCAGGAGGTGGAGGCAAGAGGATCTTTTCAACCTCAGAGTTTGAGGTTGCTGTGAACTATGACCACTCACTCATTCTACTCAGTAACAGAGTAAGATTTGGCTTGGAACCAGTAGCTCAAGCAGCTAAGGCGCCAGCCACACACACTGGAGCTGGAGGGTTCGAACCTAGCCCGGCGCCAAACAATGACGGCTGCAACCAAAAAATAGCCAGGCGTTGTGGTGGACGCCTATAGTCCCAGCTACTTGGGTGGCTGAGGCAAGAGGGTCGCTTAAGCCCAAGAGTTGGAAGTTGCTGTGAGCTTTGATGCCACAGCACCTACTGAGGGCGACGTCCTGAGACTCTGTGTTAAAAAAAAAAAAAAAAAGGGGGGCTCCGGGGTCGAAGGCCCCCGCGGCAGCAGCCGGTGCCCCAGGCTCGGGGAGTGCAGCCCCGAGGTTGCAGGGGGTGCTGATCGGGGACAGGCTGTACTCCGGGGTGCTCATCACCTTGGAGAACTGTCTGCTGCCTGAGGACAAGCTCCGCTTCACGCCATCCATGTCGAACGGCCTGGACACAGACACGGAGACCGCCCTCCGCGTGGTGGGCTGCGAGCTCATCCAGGCGGCTGGCACCCTGCTCCGTCTGCCGCAGGTGGCCATGGCTACCGGGCAGGTGCTGTTCCAGCGGTTCTTTTATAGCAAGTCCTTTGTGACGCATTCCATGGAACATGTGTCAATGGCCTGTGTTCACCTAGCCTCCAAAATAGAAGAAGCTCCAAGACGAATAAGAGATGTTATGAACGTGTTTCATCGACTTCGACAGCTCAGAGAGAAAAAAAAACCGGTGCCTTTACTACTGGATCAAGACTATGTTAACCTAAAGAACCAGATTATCAAAGCAGAAAGACGAGTTCTCAAAGAGCTGGGTTTCTGCGTCCACGTTAAACATCCTCACAAGATAATCGTTATGTACCTTCAGGTGGTAGAATGTGAGCGGAACCATCACCTGGTCCAGACGTCATGGAATTACATGAATGACAGCCTTCGCACCGATGTTTTCGTGAGGTTCCAGCCCGAGACCATTGCCTGCGCTTGCATCTATCTCGCAGCCCGGGCGCTGGAGATCCCTCTGCCCAGTCGTCCTCATTGGTTTCTTTTGTTTGGAGCAACTGAAGAAGAAATTCAAGAAATCTGCTTAAAAATCCTACAGCTCTATACACGGAAAAAAGTTGATCTGACTCACCTGGAAGGTGAGGTGGCAAAGAGAAAGCACGCCATTGAGGAGGCAAAGGCACAAGCCCGGGCCCTGCGCTCTGCAGCTGCACAGGCTGCAGGCAGCACACCTGCCCCCAAGCTGCAGGCCCCCAAAGAAGGTAAGGGGAACAAAGCTTCCCCACTCTCTGTGAAGAGTACCAAGAGGAGAATTGAGGGCACCAAGAAAACCAAAGCTGACGGCCCCGTGTATGGCTTACCAAAGGGGCGAGAAAGTCGAAGTCGGAGCAGAAGCCGTGAGCAGAGCTACTCGAGGTTCCCATCACGATCTGCTTCTCCTAAGAGGAGGAAGAGTGACAGTGGCTCGACATCTAGTCGCTCCAAGTCACAGAGCCATTCTGGGAGCTCGAGCGATTCCCCGCCAAGAAAGGTGCACCGTAGTGCTTTCTACAAAGGCTCCGAGGTGAAGAGCTCCCGGAAGTCCAAGGACTGCAAATGTCACACTCAGAAGCCACACAAGTCTCAGAGCCGGAGATCATCCGGTTCTCGAAGCCGGTCACGGGAGCAGGCAGACGATGCTGGAAAATACAAGAAGAAAAGTCATCACTATAGAGATCAGCCACGGGAGCATGCGAGGTCACATGGGCGCACAGGCCATCATTATGAGCGGGACCACCCGGGGCACAGCAGGCACTGCAGGTGAGACGGGGTCCCAGTGATTAGTGGCCACAGGCCTCTTCCTAGCAGGTGTCTGGCGGTTGCCCTCTCTGTCGTGCACACCTCGGCCAAGTGGCCCTGCAGCACGATTCTTTCTGGAAATGGAATTGAGGGGACGGCAAGGTCTATTCTAGGCCGGCCTGGGGCTCGGCACATACCTTTCCACCTCAGCAGCAGCCATGCGGGCAGCTCATTTGAAGAGCAAACCCATGCGGCCTTGTAGTGTGGCTTGGTGCTATCTGCCGGCAGCCACCTCTCCACCCCTCCCACTACTGAATTATGTTAAGCCAAGAAAAATGATTTTTAGAAACTTTGCCTATATTAGGTTGTACTATGTACATATTTTGCAGTGATTCACAGTGAGAAAATGGCCTTAGTAACCCCTTTATTCTTTATCCATGTTGTAAATAAACATGAGTTTAAACGAGTTAAAGCTATATATGAAAACTCAGAACTTGAATGCTGTTAGCTTAAAACTTGTGTAGAGAATTCTGATTTTTTAAATGTGAAGGTATTTAGATCTGTGTTGAAAGTCGTATATTTTTATCTGTGTAATGCTGAGTGCAGGGCACCAGCTCTTGGAGAAGTTTCCTATATGTGCCTTTTATGTGGTTGAATAAACACCTCTCCGCTCAGGACATTTAGGGGGGAAAGAAAAAAAAAAACAGAGTAAGACTCTCTCTAAAAACAAACAAAAAAAAAGATAAAAATACTTTTGCAACTTTCTATAATATAATTAACCGTATCTAGACATTGATAATATGGTATACAGAGTCCCTGAGGTTAAAAAAAAAAAAAAATTGTGCCCAACGAGCTATTTTGTTATTTTGTTAGAAAGTAAGGTGAAAAATTCTGTGTGCTTAAGATACGCTTCCCTTATTCTCCATTCAACTCATTCATTTGATCGTTTGAGAAATATTTATTGAGTTCTTACAATGTGCCAGGGCTGAGTGAGGTACTGACAATGGCAGATTGAATAATCCAGACACAGATTGAGATTTAGCAGAGATTATATTCTAATGGGGGTTCAAGGTAAATAATCAGACTATTTGAGGAAACTTTAAAGCTACAGGAACAGACAGGATCTGAGTATCTCAGGGATGGTTTGTGTGACAATGTGATATTTAAAATGAGACTTGGAGAATGAATAGAATTTAGTAGATAATTGTGGAGAGAGCAGAGTGGATAAGCAGGAAGGAGGACAAGTATGTGCCAAAGCTTCAAAGAGAGACAATATGGCAGTTAAAGTAAGGAAGTCATATTCATTTTTATTTTTTATTTTTTATTTTATTTTATTTTATTTTGAGACAGTCTCATTATGTCACCCTAGGTAGAATGCCGTGGTGTTACAGCTCACAGCAACCTCTAACTCTTAGGCTTAAGCGATTCTCTTGCCTCAGCCTCCCAAGTAGCTGGGACTATAGGTGCCTGCCACAAGTTCTGGCTGTTTTTTCATTGTAGTTGTCATTATTGTCCAGCAGGCCCAGGCTGGGTTTGAACAATGACAGCTGCAACCAAAAACATAGCCAGGTGTTGTGGTGTGCACCTGTGGTCCCAGCTACTTGGGAGGCTAAGGCAGGAGACTCACTTGAGCCCAGGAGTTGGAGGTTGCTGTGAGCTGTGATGCCACGGCACTCTACCCAGGGGGACAGCTTGAGGCTCTGTCTCAAAAAAAAAAAAAAAAAAAAGCGGAGGGTGTGAAGGGGACAAGGGAAAGAATACTACCTATTAAGCACAGTGTATGCTATTTGGGTGACAGGTACAATAAAAACCCAGACATCACCACTATACAATTCATTCCTGTAACCAACAACCACTTGTACTCCCTAAATCTATTGAACTAAAAAATAAAACAAAACAACAACAAAAAAACTCTCTATTTTTGTGGTAACATAAAAAAAACAGACTCAAAGAATTGTAAACTATGCCAACATTGGAGATTACATCATTATGACAATCTGATAATACCTGTACATTTTCCTGTTAATGTCATATTTCTTGACTACTGTGAATAACGTTGCAGTGAACATGGGTGTGCAGATATCTTAGGAGGTGTTAATTTAATTTCCTTTGGATGTTTGCATAGAAGAGGGATTATTGGGGTGTCTGTAGTTCTATTTTAGTTTCTTGAGGAAACTCAATGATGTTTTCCATAATCTTTAACTCATAAAAATCAATCAAAAAATCAAGACTCACTACATATGGAGGAAAACCAACAGCATTAAAAGAAATACAATGCAAAAAAAAAGACTTTGACTTGGAAACAGACAATTTAGAATTAGAATGAAATTCTAAACTGGTAATCATTACTCTGAGAGACATTTTAAGATATTAATTTGTAAAGGAACAAGCTGCAATAATAAATGAACAAAGATTAAGATGGTTCTTATGAAATATATGCATGTGTGTATGTGATGATAAGACTGAAGATCTGATCAATCACATATATGATCTGAAAATGAATTAAGAATATGATGGTAAAGACAAAAACCTCACAATATGATTAAAAGGAAGAGGCATGTCTTAGTCCATTTTCTGTTGCTTATAACAGAATACCTGAAACTGGGTAGTTATGAATAAATGAATTTTTTTCTTACAGTCAGAGTCTGAGAAGTCCAAAGCTGAAGAGTGACAACTGAAGAGGGCCTTCTTGCTGGTGAGTACTCTCTGCAGATCCTGAGGCAGCATTAAGCCATCACATGGTGAGAGGAATGAGGATGCTTGCTCTTCCTCTTTTTATACAGTCATTAGCCCCACTGCTTTGATAACACAATAATCTATTAATTCGTTAATCCATGAATGAGCCCTCAAGTCCCACTCACCTCTTAAACTCTCCACCTTTCAATACTGTCACATTGAGGATGAAATTTCTACATGAGTCTTGGAGGGAAAAATATTTAAACCATTGGATATCAATGTGCAATAAAATATGATAGATCAAGTAGACCAAAATTAGGACCAAAATAATGGAAGATTTAAGTGAGTAGGAAACATTAGTACTGAGATTGATATGAGGACAATTAATGACAATTAATGACACAGTAAGGTGGGGGAAGGGGAAAAACATAGCTGTGTACATTAATGCAATCATGGGGTACATTGTGCTGGTTTTATATACAGTTTGAAATATTTTCACCGAACTGGTTAACTTAGCCTTCATGGCATTTTCTTAGTTATTGTGTTAAGACATCTATATTCTACATTTAGTAAATTTCACATGTACCCTTGTAAGATGCATCGCAGGTGTGGTTCCACCAATTACCCTCCCTCCACCCATCTTCCCCCCTCCCCTCCCCTCCCTCTCCCTTTTCCCCATATTCTTGAGGTATAATTCTTGAGGTATAATTGAGGTATATATAGCTTTCATATGAAAGCTATAAATTGGTTTCATAGTAGGGCTGAGTACATTGGACACTTTTTCTTCCATTCTTGAGATACTGTGCTAAAAACAATATGTTCCAGCTCCATCCATGTAAACATGAAAGAGGTAAAGTCTCCATCTTTCTTTAAGGCTGCATAATATTCCATGGTGTACATATACCACAATTTATTAATCCATTCATTGGTTGATGGGCACTTGGGCTTCTTCCATGACTTAGCAATTATGAACTGGGCTGCAATAACATTCTGGTACACATATCTTTGTTATAATCTAATTTTTGGTCTTCTGGATATATGCCTAATAGAGGGATTGTAGGATCGAATGGCAGGACTATTGTTAGGTCCCTAAGTGTTCTCCAAACATCTTTCCAAAAGGAATGTATTAGTTTGCATTCCCACCAGCAGCAAACACATTTTTTTAAGTATAACTTCAAACATATTAAAATGTATCTCAAATATATAAGATTGTATAAAACAAAAAGAAGAAAAAATAGCAAGAAGACAAATGAGTGAATTAATGAATTAAAAATTGATAAGGGAACCCAATCTTGCTTCTTTGAAAAGATCAATAGAATAGATAAGTTTTAATAGGTTTATTTTGAGAGCAGGAATGAACAGAGAGAGAAGTGTGTGAGGAAGAAAATGAGTTCACACATTGAATAAGAAATAACTCATAGGCATTCTATCAATTAAGAAGATATTCAAAAAGTATAAGATACTTTTTTTTACATCAAAGCATGTGAAAATTTAGAGTAAATATTTTTTTCTGAGGTAAAATTACTCAAGTACAGGCAACCAAATTAGACTTAAAATATAAACAAAGAAACCATATAACTCCTAGAAGAAAGATAGAGAAAACTTTTCTTTTTGTCTAGGCAATGATTTTCTGGATGTAACACCAAAACACAGGCAAAAAAAAAAAAATAAACAGCTAGAGAGTTTGATTCAAAGGAAACAACAAAATGAAAAGCAGGTTATGGAATGGGAGAAAGTATTTTCCAACCATATTTCTACTAAGGGGTTAATATCTAAAATGTATAAAGAACTCATATAACTCCATAGCAAAACAAAACCAAAAATACCTCCCCCAAGGTCCAAGTAACCCAATTAATAAATGGGGAAAGGACCTGAATGGACCTTTTTCCCAAAGAAGACAAACAACACATGGACAATAAGTATATGAAAAGGTGCTCAAGGCTGGGTCTGGTGGCTTACACCTGTTGTTCCAGCATTGTGGGAGACTAAGGTGGGTGGATCACCTGAGCTCAGAGGTTGGAGACCAGTGTAAGACCAGCATAAGACCAGCATGAGCTGGAGTGAGCCAGAGTGAGATGCCCTCTCTAACAAAAAAAAAAAAAATGCCGGGTGCTGTGGTGGGCGCCTGTAATCCCAGCTACTTGAGAGGCAAAGGGCAAGAGAATTGCAAAAGGAAGAAAGAAAAAAAATTAAAAAACAAACAAACAAAAAAACCTTCAAACTAAGATGAGTGAAAGCCAGCTGAAATTGAAAGCAAAATAAAAAAAAATTAAAAAAAGGTGCTCAACATCACTATTTATCAGGGTTATGCAAATCAAAAGCACAAAGAGATATCATTTCTCACCTGAT